CAGAAAGCAAAGGTTTCCAACATTTTCATAATCTAATGAAAATCTCTAAAGGAGGGAGGAAAAAATATCTCTAGGAAAACTTTCCCTTAGTTTCAACTCACTGTTCCCAAATTATACTATCATCAGCCAAAAAAAACAACAACAAACACAAACAAACAAAATAACCCCTCCCCCCCAAACAACAACAACAACAACTCTTATCCATTGGTTTTGTAATAGTCCTCTGAGGTAATCAATCAGGGTCTTTTTTTAGTTAGGTAGCAGACATCCAACTTTATCTATAACTATATTAAATTACTCTCCTCATCTTTTAGTTACTGAAGAATATATATATTTACTAATACAGATTCATTCAGTGTAATACATCTAAAAATGTATCTCTAAATAGGACCAATGATTTAATTTTTTAGAAAAAGATATTACAGCCCCCAAAATGCAGCCTCTTGTGTAACTGCATTTATTATTAAGTCTCTAGGCACAGATGAGGGTAAACTTGAATGATTGGTTCCTTGGCAATGGGTAACACTGACGAGCTACTATATTTCCATAAATTATCTAATTGCTTAATATGCCAATATGTTATAAGTACTTTAAAGACTTTATCTCACACAATCCTCATTTACAGTGAAAAAAAGTACCACAGGCCTTAAACAATTTCTTCTAGGTCACATAGTCAGTGGCATGGCTGGAAGGATTTGACACACCACAAAGAGGTACTTTATGAACAAGATTAGTATATGCAATGAAGAACCTGTGTAGTGAAGCTTGCTGAATTGAGTCAAAAAACACTACTACTAGTTATCTACATGGTTTTGGCCAATCATCTCTTTGGCCTATGCCTCAGTTTCCTTACTGAGGCTACTTTGATATGCACCAATGTTTAAAAAGTTTGTGTACTAAACTAAAGGTTATAAATTTACAAATAGCCAGAATATTAACTATATTATTATAAACTCACAGTAGCCTGATTTTCTAAAAAATATAGACTCTCATTTTTCAGAAAATTTAAATTTTATTTTGGAAGAACCTGCATATCACTGAATCTCCTTGAGTGGCTAACCCAATCCCACTGTAACTGTTTTTGGCTTTCTGCCTTGAAGCACCTCTTAAAATAATACACTCAAGCCTTAGCCAGTTTGGCTCAGTGGATAGAGCATGAACCTGCAGACTGAAAGGTCCCAGGTCAAGGGCACATGCCCGGGTTATGGGCTCAATCCCCAGTAGAGGTCGTGCAGGAGGCAGCGTATCAATGATTCTCTCTCATCATTGATGCTTCTATCTCTCTTTCCCTCTACCTTCCTCTCTGAAATAACTAAAAATATATATTTTTTAAAAATACATCCAAAAGAAAAAGTTTCAATTCCAAAAGCATTGCTAAGTAAGATATACTATTTTGCTGAAAGCTCTTCCTCAAAATCCTCTCTAATTACCTTTGCTTTTTCCCCCAAAGTTCACCCCAGGGCAGTGGCCACATTTCTTTCTTTCCTATTTCTACCAATTTCTCAGGCCTCCCTTCCACACACTCTCAAAATCCTATGTGCTTGTACCCAACAGAACAAATGTCCAGGAGTAGGCCAAACCCAGCGAGGTTCCAGGTCATAACCGGTATCTTCATACAGTATTTTACTGCTACCTCCTTTAACTTCTGGGATAAACCAATGGTCTAGAAATTCTATCAGATTTTATAAAGCATCCTTCCTATCGAGTTTTCATCCCTACCCCAAAGCCACTGTCAAAATAACTGACAAGAGTATGCTACATGTAATGAAAGTAATCCCATTTTGCTTCAAGTTATTTAGTGTATCAAATGCTCCATTAAAAGGCTAACTGGAATTACATATGCAAACATATTAAAAAGTACACATCTCAATATCCACCTTCCAAAGTAATTTTGATTTAGACTCATTTGATTATGAACAGTATTATTTTAGTTTCTTAAAGTTTTCAAATTTCTATATATATATCTATATATCTATATCTAGATATAGATATAGATATATAGATATATAAGCATTTCAATCTTTTGTCAATAAGCAGGGCACAACTTGCCAGAAGGAAAAAATTAGATGAACAAAAGAAAGGGAAACCCCCTTATGTAGTTAGAGCAAACTTCTGACATGTACTCATCTAGACAACGGAATTTAGACTCTAAATTACCATAAGGATCTGCCCAGAATCAGTGATTTACACCACCATTTTTTTTAACTTAAGGTGTAATTTGTGATTTTTCAATAAATTTATCTTGAAAAAAGAATGATATTCCACAAACAATAACAAACTATTAATCCAGCAAAGGTAAAACCAAGCTATGCATTAGGAAAGGCAATTCTTCATTTTTAACACCCTAGATTACAGCAAGGAAAGCCCTCACACCACCATTCACAAGTCTCGGTTCAAGCAATTTATTTTTGGCAAGCCAAATCACAGCTGTCAACGCTGGGTTTTTTTCCACCCCAAAATTACATAAAGTATTTTGAAAAAATATAGACATCTTCAACTGGGGGAAAAGTAAGTTATAAATGCCGTGTGTTGTTACAAATGCTTTATATATATATAAAAAAAAAAAGTCACACGGAAGGAGTTTTGTTTTGTTTTGTTTTGTTTTTTTAAAAAAAAAGAGCAAACAAACCAACCCTGGAAGATGCAGCAGAGCCCCCTTGCTCCCGAAATAAAACTCCTGGTGGCTGTAACAGCAGCGGCAGCGCTACTCCCGACAGAAGTTTTCAGCTGTCACTTCTAACAGCTGAGCGCTTCCTAGGAGAGAAGCGACAGGCCGAGAAGAGAGGTGGTTGTGGGAGGTCTGACGATGGAACACTCGAAATCTTACACTCGAAGGGAAACCCTTCCGCACTTCACCTGCACTTAGGGGACACCCAGCAAGCGCCGTCCCCCTCCCCCCAACACGCGCCACGCCACTCGCGCCCCGCCACACTCAGGTCAGCCGGAGGGATCGACCGCGCGCCCGTCCTCGGTCCCTGCACTGACGGCTCCGGGCTGCGCTGCTCTGGGGCGAGGGACGCGACCTGCACCTGCGAGCCCCGCCGCGGCCTCTCACCTCGGGCCAGGTCCGCCCCGCCCGCTCCCCTGTCTCGGGCCGCGCGGCGCTTCAGCTGGTCCGGGAGACTACGCACCCCCTGGGTCTCCGCGCTCTCGGACGCGCCAGGCTTCCCGGGCCCGCCCCGCCGCCCCGGCCCTGTCACCGCCGGCCCCCCGGGACCACGGGCCTCACCCCCTCCTCCAGCTCATCCTCAGAGCCCGCGTCCTCTGGCTGGTCCAGGTCTATGTCAAACACTCCTGCCATGTCCTCAGCTTCCCTGTCTCGGAAGTCCGGCGCTGGGTAGAAGCCGTCCCGCCTCCGTCGTCGCCTCATGGGCCCGGACTCGCCACAGACACCACTGCCGCTGCCGCCATCACTGGCTGCTTGAGCTCAGTGCGTCTGCGCTTAGGCCTTAGACTGGCTCCTCAAGTTCAGCGCGAGAGCATGCGCACAAGGTTCTGTGAAGCCGACTGTGGGCAATGCACATGCGTACAACTATCGCCAGAAGTGAGGTACTGGCAGACACATGCGCAGAAACCCAGCTGAAGCCGCTTGTGGAAGCTGGATCATGCGCAATGTCAGCTCAAGCATTTGATCAACAGTGAGCATGCGTAGCGTGTTTGAAGTTGATAAATTGAAATTGAACATGCGTAATTAACCTTTCTGAATAGGAAAAGAAAAAAAAATACAACAAAACTCTTCGTTTGTGGAACATGCGCATTCGTTGTCCCTAGTTTTTTTGGGTGTTGAAAGTGAGCATGCGCATAATGGCCCTCTGAAGTTTGAACAGGACAGAACCGGCTGGTCCTGGGGCTGTCAGTGAGTGGGGTGAATGGGGGAACTCCTAGGATTAGTGGGGAAAAGGAGAGTCTTGGCTTTGCTATTTATTACTTAAGTGGGCATGGGAAAGTCACATAACCTTTCAGAGCCTGAGTTTCCTTATCTATAAAACGAGAGTAATGATACCTAGTTTGCAAGGTAGTTTGAAAATTATGAGTACAGTCCTAGCTGGTTTGGCTGTGTGGATAGAGCCTCGATCTGCAGACTGAAGGGCCCCAGGTTCGATTCCAGTCAGGGGCATGTGCCCGGGTTGCGGGCTCGATCCCCAGTAGGGGGCGTGCAGGAGGCAGCTGATAAGTGATTCTCATCACTGATGTTTCTATCTCTCTCCCTTCCTCTCTGAAATCAATAAAACTATATTTAAAAAGAAAAAAGGAAATTATGAGTACAGAGTATGGCTCACAAGTCACTGCTCTTTCCAGTGCTGCATAGACCTGGTCTGAGGTATTTACAAAAAAATAAAAATAAAAATTGTCTCTTTTCATTGTTAAAAAATAGTGAAGACTTGCTGTAATATTTCATCTGGTCCAATTTTTCCAAGCTTGGTCTTCCTTGCTGTCCTACCTGAGCTAAACACAGTCTTTCTTATAAGTGTTACTGTAGTTACCAGGCCCGAAAGGTGATTGGTGGAGAGAGAGAGAAAGTCATTATTTAGAAGAGAGAAAATTAATGTTAATTAATAAATGTACAATTGTTGACTTAACTTCTGCATTCTATGTGTCCCTGTGGTGGGAAGTGTATACTATTAATTCCTTCAACCAGCATGCATTTTTTGTTTTGTTTTGTTTCAAATACATGCATAGGAAAATAGGGAATGCAAATCAGACTTTGGAAACTGTTGAGCTGTGTATGAATAGATTTGGGTACAGTAAATTCCAAAACCATGTTGAGAAAAGGAACAACTTCCTTAAATGATTGGTTCCTTAGACGACATAGCTATTTCATCTGTAACACCATATATGCATATGGCATTTTTAAATTATGTATTTTATTGATGTATATTAGCATACATGGCATTTTATTTGTCCTTTAGTTGTTGATAATGTAGTGTTCTCAAAGCTTATATTTTTCTATTACAGGTTGCTCACTTTTTTGAGGAAATAGGCCTAGTTTGTGTCTCAGCATGTCAATAGTAACAGTGCAACTTGGTCAGTGTGGCAATCAGATTGGTTTTGAAGTATTTGATGCTCTATTTAGTGATTCACACTGTCCCCAGGGACTCTGCTCTAAAAGAGAGAATGAGGCATATCAAGCATCTTGCAAAGAAAGATTCTTCAGCGAGGAGGAACATGGAGGTATGTGTGGTTCACAGTCCTCTCCTTTACTCTGACATAACCAGCCACTTCAAGGCCAGGCCATCCACATCGTGTCTGAATGTCATCCCTTCGCATCTTATTAGGGAATGACTTTGCGCTTGATCCTTTGTTTCTGTGTTAACAACCTTTGCCATTATGGTGGCATCTTCCCCCTCAGCACAGTCTTCTTTATTACCTCTTTACCTTCTCAGCTAAGAGTCTCAAAGGATTACCCACTTTAACCAGCTATAATCTTGCTTCTGCCCTACACCACTGATGCTGCTCTAAGAAGAGTTCCCAGTGATAGCCTAATTACCAAATCCAGTGGCTGTTTTATTTTCTTCATTTACTTAATTCTCTACTGGATTTGGTAACTAACTCGAAAACTCCCTCCTTAAAACTCCTTCTTCTTAGAATCTGAACCTTTCTTCTCCAATGGTTGTATCTCAGGTGCTCCTCTGTCCTCACTTATATAGTTCTCTCTGGGCAATTTCAGTTTCTCTTGTAATTTGTGACATCTTTTACACGAATGACTCTCAAATCTCTACCCTAGCCTCACTTCCAGGCAATGACTAGTGGACGTCTCCACCTGCATCTCCCATGTGTACTTCAAAGTCAGCATCTCCATATCCAGCATCATTCATTATCTTTCCTTTAAAACTTGGGCTCTTACTGCCCACATACCATCAGACATCAAGATCTGCTTAATTTAGTCCAGCCAGTGTGTCTCAGTGGTTGAGTGTCCAAGTCATGGTTCAATTTCAGGTCAGGGCACATGCGTGGGTTTTGGGCTCCATCCCCAGTAGGCGGGGTTGGGAGGGGGGGGCGTGTGTAGGAAGCAGCTGATGGATGTTTCTATCTCTCCCTCTCCCTTCCTCTCTCTAAAATAAATCAAAACATATTCAAAAAAGATATGCTTGATTTGCCTCCTACATATCTCTTGAAACCCTTCTGCCTTTTCCATGTTCCACTGTCATTACCTTAGTTCTGACTCTTGTCCTCTCTCACATGGACTGTTTCAAAACACTCTCAGTTTCCCTGCCTAAACTCCTGTGTCTATCACATCTATCCTCCACACTGCTGTATTAAAAAGACATCTGTCCCTAGCTGGTTTGGCTCAGTGGATAGAGTGTCGGCCTACGGACTGAAGGGTCCCAGGTTCAATTCCAGTCAAGGGCACACGCCCGGGTTGTGGGCTCAATCCCCAGTAGGGGCCATGCAGGAGGGAGCCAATCAATGATTCTCTCTCATCATTGATGTTTCTCTCTCACTCCCTCTCCCTTCCTCTCTGAAATTAATAAAAATATCTTTTTTAAAAAAAAAGACATCTGATTATTCCTCCCCTGCTTGAACATTTTCAGTGATTTCACATTGCCTAAAAGATCATTTCAAGCTTTTAACATTGTACACAAGGACTTCCAAAATCTGAGCCCTGCCTGCTTTCCATCTCCATCCATCACTTCTTCTACTCCCTCCTCCATCATCTGCTTCAACAATCCTAAACTGCTTGTTGTGTTCATGGTATTTTGTACCTCCGAATATACTACTCAGTTAGTGTGGATTTGTCGTGAGTCATCACATGATACAGTGATTGTTTCATCTCTCCAACTAGCCCTTCTAGGGCTGGATTGGTGTTGCCTTCATCTCTGTGTTCCCAGTACATGGCACATGGTAAGCACTCAACAGATGTTTGTAGACCTGACCCAGTGATCATTGTAACTCACACTGATTCATCCTGCTTAGCAGAATGCTAGACATTATGAACCATCTGCATATACCTACTGCTGCCCACCTTGATTTCTGAGCAGTATGACCAATCTTTCTATCCTCCAACTTCGGATTTTTTTTGTGTGTGGCAGGGGGAAATTAGAAGTTTATACTCTGTGTTAGCCTAAATATGACATATGAAATATTATTCTTTTATTCCGCCCCCTCATCTCTAGTTCCAATTGCCCGGGCTGTACTTGTTGACATGGAACCTAAAGTTATCAATCAAACACTATCAAAGGCTGCCCAGTCTGGCCGATGGAAATATGGCCAGCATTCATGCTTCTGTCAAAAACAAGGTTCTGGAAACAACTGGGCATATGGGTAAGAATAATTCATCATGATTTTTCATTTTAGATACAGCTACATAGTCGATTAGTAGAGAGTGTAGTTACAACTGCACGGTTGATATAATGTGCACATAATCTTAAAATTACTATTTTAAAATTTAGGGTATAACTTCACCTAGAAGAAACTCTCATTCTATCTCATGTATGTCTGTGCTTCAGGTCCAGGTAATGATGAAACCGTGGACCTCTTGCAGCAGGGTTTTCCACTTCTTCACTGTCATTCTGCCAACTAACTTATTATCAATATCTTTATCTCGCAGGTATTCCAGCTAATGGGGAATACAATGAGGCAGTAGTATTTCCTGGGGTTCTTTGGGAAATTCCAGTGCCTAGGCTCAATTCAAAAATTCTGATTTAATTGGTATGGGAAGAAGCCCGGATATTGGGATTTTTCAAAGCTTCCCTAGGTGATTGTAATGTTCAAAAAAGTTTGAGAACCACTGCTTTAGGAGTATTGTTATGAGTACTGAATGTTATGTTTTACCATAACCTTACAGAACTACCTGGTAATTGGAATCTCCAGCTAAAGGAATGGCCTGTAACAGAGAATTTTCTGTACCTAGTCAATTCATTGTCCTAGCATTCCTGCTCTCCTGTTAAGTATGTTTAACTTGTGTATTTTACATTTTGTGCCTTTCATGAGAGTTAGCTCATGTTCATGGGGTTAAAAAGCCTTCTCTGTCCTATACCTTTCTCTCTGCATTGCATATCTCTGGTTAAACTGTAAAGTGTTTGTATTTGTTCTTTCTGCATTGCATAGTTACTCTGTTCATGGACCCAGACATGAAGAATCTATAATGAACCTAATCCAGAAGGAAGTAGAGAAATGTGACTCCTTGAGTGGTTTTTTCATCATAATGAGTATGGCTGGAGGCACAGGATCTGGGCTAGGAGCCTTCATTACACGGAATTTACAAGATCAGTATTCCAACTCCTTGAAAATGAATCACATTATATGGCCTTATGGAACTGGTGAGGTAAGAACACATTCACTGAAATTTTATATTTTTATATTTCAATCCTGCTGCAGTTGCAATACATGTAGGCAAAAGATAGGTCTGACCCTTTCTTTGGAAATGTTAAGTTACTGCTTCAGGAGTGACTATACAATATGGTACTTGCGTGAACAATTCATTTAACTTTGCTCAAACTTTTGCAAACAGATGAGGTGTCCTGATCTCTAAAAATTCCGAAGAAGACAATTTTACATTTTCTCTCAGGGACCCATTCCTGAGTTAGTCCCACTGTCTACAGCAGGGGTCCTCAAACTTTTTAAACAGGGGGCCAGTTCACTGTCCCTCGGACCATTGGAGGGCCGGACAATAGTTTTAAAAAAAACTATGAACAAATTCCTATGCACACTGCACATATCTTATTTTGAAGTAAAAAAACAAAACGGGAACACATACAATATTTGTATTTGCATGTGGCCCGCGGGCCATAGTTTGAGGACCCCTGGTCTACAGTATATAAAGCAGAGACCTTGAGAAATCATAACATGGAGGTGAGAGAAGTCACTGTAGGAAGGAATTGTGATAGTAACGCTTGCCATCCATTAAATCTTTACTATATACAGGGCACTGTTCTAGTGATTTACATGCATTCTATCATCAACCTTTAAAACTCTACGAGGCTGGTATAATTATTATTCCCACTTTACAGAGAGGAAACTGAGGCACAGAGAGATTAAACAACTTGTACAAGGTCATATAGCCAGAAAGTGATAGAGCCAGGACTTGATCCCAGGCAGGATGCCCTGAGGATCCACCCTCTTAACCACTATTCTCTCCTGCTTTTCTTATTTCTGACCTTCTCCTCTCCAGGTTATCGTTCAGAATTACAACTCCATTTTGACTCTTTCTCACTTGTACCGATCTTCAGACGCCCTCCTTGTTCACGAGAATGATGCTCTTCATAAGATCTGTGCAAAACTGATGAATATCAAGCAGATCTCCTTCAGGGATATAAATCAAGTCCTCGCCCATCAGCTGGGCAGTGTGTTCCAGCCTACATATTCTGAGGAAGGCTCATCTCACTACAGAAGAAATCCACTAGGTATTTGTCCTCCTGTATGTTATTGATAGGAAAGTCTTAAGTTCTGAGAGCCTCGAAATTACTCTTCCTTGGCTCCTCTCCTCTGCCAGATACACTCAGTCTCTCTCATCTCAAAAGCCTTCCTAAGGAGCTGCTTAGCTCTCTGAACTGTCTTACCGAAATGTTTGAGAAAGTTACTACATTTCTCTCAAGAGTGGTGGATGCCCATGGACTATTCTTAAGTATTCTCTCTCTCTTTCTTTCTCAGAAAAACTTTGAGGTATAATTCACATACCATACAATCCACCCATTTAAAGTGTACAAGTCAGTGTTTTTTTCATATCCACAAAGTTTTACAACCATCATTTTTATCACTCCAGAAAGACCCACCACCTTGGCCGGAGTGGCTCAGTGGTTGAGTATCGACCTATAAACCAGGAGGTCACGGTTAGAAATGATTCCCGGTCAGGGCACATGCCTGGGTTGCGAGCTCAATCCTCAGTGTGGGGCGTGTAGGAGGCAGCCAATCAATGATTCTCTCTCATCATTGATGTTTCTATCTCTCTCTTCTTCTCTGAAATCAATAAAAATAAAGATAAACCCACCTTTTTTTTTTCTTCCAGCTTATTTGGCAAATAGTGCCTTATCAGTTCAAATCATCTAGATGCAAATGACTCTGTAATCTATATCCCCCTCCCTTGCCCCACTCTAATCTCTTTCCCAAATAGTTTTTCCCTATCTCAGTTTTCTTAGTTACCTTCTGCTTATTCAAATTTAGCATGTTCTGAATGGATTTATCATTTTTCCCCTGTCTTCCTCTCCTGCCACCTCTTCTTCAGTTCAAATCACTGATTTCTCCCACTGTCCTCACATCTTATCAGTGTGCTCAGACCTGTAGGTGCCATCTCTGTCATCTGTTTGCATTCTTCCTCTTTGCCTTTTGTGACAGCCTCTCTACTGATTTTTCTCCTGTCTCCATGACTACTCCTTTTATTCCCCTTTTTCCTCTGTTTTTCAGGCTCTAAATGCTAGTCTTGGATCCTCTCCCTAGTTCCATGGCTTTAAATACCACTTGTCTTTTCCAACCTGCCAGTTTATCTCCAACTCTGACCAATTCCCTGAGCTCCAGATTCCTATATTGAGGAGCCTTCCTGACATCTCTATGTACACATTTCATGGACATTCCAAACACACTGTGTCTAAAACAGGTCCTTTAGCTTTCCTCCAATTTTGTTTCTTCCTCAATTCCTCAATTGCTCAATTTTTAAAACATAAGTCCACTAAAGACCTCAGATACCCACATAGTTCTGCTCAAGTGTTTGGAGACATCACCTTCTCAACAAAGCAATTGGGGATTGTGAATTCCGAGGGGGTCCCAGTCTGCCATCTGGGGTGACATTCTATAGCTATACTCTGAAGGGCACAGAGAATGGGAAGCACGGGGCCGATCCAAGATTGGATTTTTTCACCAGAAAGATTTGATGAAGAGACAGAAGGGCAAGGAGCTAAATAAGGAGGGAGGTGAAGAAAAGGGAACACTGCCCTAGTTGGTTTGGCTCACTGGATAGAGCCTCAGCCCTTGGACTGAAGGGTCCTGGGTTTGATTCTGGTCAAGGACACATATCTCAGTTGCAGGCTCAACCCCTTGCCCTGGTCGGGGTGTGTGCAAAGGCAACCAATTGATATGTCTCTCTCACATCAATTTTTTTTTTCTCTCTCTCTGTTTCTCCCTCTCCTTTCCACTCTCTCTAAAGATCAATGGAAAAATATCATCAGGTGAATCAGGTGAGGATTAACAAAAAAACAAAACAAAACAAAAAAATAAGAAAAGAAAGAGGAAGACTGATGGATTGAGAAGGCAGGACGTCCATAGATTAGTCTGTCTTAGTCCACTCAGGCTGCTATAACTCATAGGCTGGGTGGCATGGAAACAACATAAATTTGCTTCTCAGTTCTGATTATCATTTAACTAGATAAAATAAATTAGAGAACTAGGAAAATTTCTAAAGAAATATTTAGTGAATACAGAAAGACAATAAAAGCATATTAACTCTTAGGCTTACTCTGTTAGCTAAATATTTCATTCATATAAACAGTTACTTGGTTTCTGAACTCTTTGTTTCTTTTTTGGCAAAGTGTTATTTCTCACTCATGCTAAAATTGGTGCCAAAATGAAGCAAATACATAGTCTCTAATAGACTGTCTCTGAAAGTTTATTTACATTTTAAAATTTAAGCAATTCTGGCTTGGAGGAGAAAATACTCAAAGACCATCAAATTGTGGTTGTGTATAGACCAACTGGAACAATGCAGAATTAAATTTTAGTTAAATTTTTTTTTTCTTTACAGGAGACTTACTGGAGAATTTAGTTCCCCATCCTGAATTCAAGATGCTGGGTGTTCGTAACATTCCCCAAATGTCTGAGCACTCCCTGGCATACAGCACGTTTACTTGGGCTGGCCTCCTCAAGCATTTGAGACAGATGCTCATTTCTAATGCAAAAATGGAAGAAGGTAAAGGGTATTTTAAAAATATGTAGCCCACAAGCTGGGAAGAATGCCTATACTGGAGTTCTCAATATAAACTGGCTTGGGCCAGTTAAAAAATAATGGCCCCTTCTTCTGGTCAGGGAGGGGCCTGACTCACCAGGATATCCCGGGAGGGCTTCCTAATCACCCCACAGTGTCATTTCCCAAAATAATTTCAGATAACTGTGAATTTATTTTTATTTACATTTTAGTTTTATTAAAGTAATATATGAACAGAGTTTTTAAAAACAAGTAATTAAGCCCTAGCCAGTTTAACTCAGTGGATAGAGCATCAGCCTGTGGACTGAAGGGTCATTGGGATTCTGGTCAGGGCTACATGCCCAGGTTGCGGGCTCAATCCCCAGTAGGGGGCGTGCAGGAGGCAGTCAATCGATGATTCTCTCTCATCATTGATGTTTCTATCTCCCTCTCCCTTCCTCTATGAAATCAACAAAAAAATATATTAACAAAATTTTTAAAAAAAACACAAGTAGTTAAAACTCATTTAAGTGTATACTTAAATCCATTTTAATATTTATAGATTTGTATTATAAACATAAAATATTTACGATTTTGTTTACATACATTGCACTGTATGTATATTATAACTCAACCTTTTTTTAAAAGCCAAGTAATTGCCTGCATGAATTTATAATGAGGAAAAGAGCAGTGCCCTGTCCTACACCTCCCCCACTGCCCCGCTGATGCCTTACTTTCAATGTTTTTAGCTGCTGCTTCTGGAATTTGTCTCCATATTTCTAAATATCTTGCTTATACTGTTACTTGTTTTATTTTACATGTTTAGATATTATCAATTGCCTCCCTAATGTAAAAATTGAGGATAGAACCTTTTTACACGCCTCCACACACGCACGCACGCACAACTTTTGAATTAGATCAGTTATCAATGGTTGAATTACTTTTGCTACGTAAATACTCATAGTTAAGCCATGTAATATCATTATTCTGCCCTTTCATGACATTGATAATTTGGTTAGGTACAGGATTCGAGGTTGGGAATCATTTTCAATCAGTATTTTGAATGCATTACTCTATCATCTTCTATCGTCCAGTGCTACTGTTGAGAAGTGGATCTGATTCCTAATCCTGTTTTGTTCTCTCTTGAATCTTTTAGGATTTTCTCTGTCTTCAGCATTTTGAAATTCCTTAATGTGGACCTTTTGATTTATCTTAGTAGAACATAAAGGTTTTTAAAAAATCTATTTTGTTTCCTGCTATATCTTCAGAGCCTGAAATAGTGGCCCAGCAATAGTGTCCTTCAGGCCAGAGCCTCAGTGGCTTAGCCCTTCCTAATGGAGGTGTGCACTCCCCTTGCTGCAGGGAGTGGGAAGGGTCTGGGGCTCTCAGTGCTTCTCAGCCAGATTTTTAACTAATACCCCTGTTTCTTCCTCTTTTGGAAGTGCCTGGCCCGCCTCCAGGACCTCCACTGGGCGCAGGAGTTTCAGCTTTCCCTGGTTGCTAAATTAGTAACCACTCCTTTCCAGCTTCCAACATTTCGCTACCATGATCTCCTCTGCCTTTTTTTTTTTCTTATGCCTTAAAAAAAAAAAAAAAAAAAAATCTTATATTGTCTTGTTAGTGAAATTTGGGGAGACAGTGGCAGTAAACTTGTTTATTCAATCTGTCATGGTTAACTGGAAATCACTACTAAGTATTATCTTTGTAGTGTATATTTTACCACACAATAATTTAGATTTCAATACTATGGAAGTGGATTTCTTCTACATCTAATTGTAATTCCTTAGGGAATTTTAGATTATAGTGCCTGAGGTTTGGAGATAAGTGGATAGTTCACATCTTAAAGTAATGCTTCCCGAATTTTTTGGGTCACAGTATATACCTGTTTTTCTAGCAAAACCTGTTCACATCGCAAGGAACACTGTGTCCCTAAGGGTAATAATGTAAGGTGTGCTGTGCTGAGCTCAGGTCAATAAACGACAATTTGTTTAGTCATTTTTCTATGAGGGACTTTAGGGTGTTAACATTTTTTTTTCCACAGGTATAGATAGAGCTTTTTTAAAAAGTTGAATTTATTGGGGTGATATTGGTTAATAAAATTATCTAAGTTTCAGGTGTACAATTCTATAATAGAGCTTTGAACATATAAATATTCGTGTATATAAATATATGAATAAATATATATCCATCACTAACAAGGTTGAAGAATACAGTTTTAAAACTCTTCATTTGTTATCAGACTGCTCTATATAAAGACTGACCCCACTAATATTGCCACCAGCAGTATATCTGTTGCCACATGTCCTAGCAGCAGGAGGAATGAGTGATCCAAGATGGAGCCAGGTGGAAGTTACAGTGTGTTTTATGACCTGGCTTTGGAGCCACATGCCATCATTTCTGCACCACCCTTTTGGTGATTAAGGTCAGCCCTATCCCATGTGGGAAGGAGCCACACAAGGACCTGAATTTCAGGAGGCAAGAGTCATTGGGATTCATCTTGGAGGCTGGCTACCACCCTCTCTCAGCAGAAAAAAACTTTTAGTTATCAAATAAAAATTTATGTAAAGTATATAAATTCTGTAACACACTTTTCTCTTCCTGTTCAAAGCCATTCATAAAATCTCTTGCTTTATTTTTGCTTTTTTTTTCTTTTGGTAGGTATTGATTGGCAGGTACGGCCTCCTTTATCAGGAGCTCCTACTCTTGGTAAAATGTCTGCCAACAAGAACCTTCACTTTAACACGTCTCTTGCTAACTTGGTCATCCTTCGTGGGAAAGAGGTGCACAGTGCGGATCTGGGTAAGCAGGGGTTAAGTTGAAAATTAAGATGTGCTTTTTTGCACATGCATATGGTACACATGGTTTAAAAATAAATTTATCCCTGAATTTATTCTTAGAGAAAGAAAAATAATAATTATGTGTTTTTATAGCAAAATGAAACCATTTTATCAGTATGTGGACTGAACACCAAAATAGGGATGGTTTAAACAAGATACAAATTTAATTCTTTCTTCCTGAATCTAGTTGTTCTATTGTTTTTACCTTATGGCTTCTTCCTTTTAGTCCAAGACATCTGTTAGAGTTCGGCCACCAACTCACATAGAAAGGAGCAAAGAGGGGCACACCTCCTCCTCCTAGAGTTGCACACCACACTGGTGTTTATATCCTTTTGACTGGGACTGAACCACATGCCACACCTCGCTGCAAGGGTCACCGTGAGCACAGTTAAAATTTGGTGGTTTTGTTACTAAAGAGAGAGAACAGTCTTGTGGGACAGCTAGTGGTCTCTGTGACAAGCGTTTTGTTACAAAATTTTCAGGAAGTTGAAAGAGCAATCTCTTGTTATTTTTGTGTTTCTATGGCATGTCTCTAGATTTATATTATCCTTATTTGATGGTTTCAGCAGTGTCCAATTGGCTGCTTCTAGCTGTGATATAAAGAACACCAAACAATCTAGTTCTTGTAATACCCCTTAGATAAATAACTAGTAGCAATTAAAAAGAGAACATTTCACCCCAACTGGTTTGACTCAGTGAATAGAGTATTGGCCAGCGGACTGAAGGATCCTGGGTTCAATTCCGGTCAAGGGCACGTACCTCGGTTGCAGGCTTGGTCCCCATCCCTGGTTGGGGCATGTGAAGGAGGCAACTGATCAATGTGTCTCTCTCACATTAATAGTTCTCTCTCTCTCTCTCTCTGTTATGATGAGTACAAATCATTTATCAAAAGCAATGTAAAGCTAGTTTTATTTTTAATTTTTTAAAAATTTACTTTTTAAATATAAGGCTAGTTTTAAAAGGCAAAACAAAAGATATTTGGTTAAGTGGATAAGGAAATATTCCTTTATTAATTTGTTTTAAAAATAAATGATTTACAATGTGAACAGTGGCTTATGTTGTTTTACTCTAGGGGGATTTAAAGATCCAGCCCTCTATACTTCCTGGTTAGAACCTGATAACGCTTTCAATATGTGGAAAACCCAACGAGCCTTTAACAAATATGAGAAGTCTGCAGCGTTGGTCAGCAACAGCCAGTTCTTAGTAAAACCACTTGATATGATTGTGGGCAAAGCATGGAATATGTTTGCTTCAAAGTAAGTAAAAGATCAATCTACAAACCTTCCTAACCTCAGGCAGATAATATAATTTAAAACTCAAGGCAAGATCTATAGCAGTGGTTCTCAACCTTCCTAATGCCGTGACCCTTCAATACAGTTCCTCATGTTGTGGTGACCCCCTACCATAAAATTATTTTCGTTGCTACTTCATAACTGTAATTTTGCTACTGTTATGAATCATAATGTAAATATCTGATATGCAGGATGTATTTTCATTGTTACAAATTGAACATAATTAAAGCATAGTGATTAATCACAAAAACAATATGTAATTATATATGTGTTTTCTGATAGTCTTAGGCGACCCCTGTGAAAGGGTCGTTCGAACCCCAAAGGGGTTGCGACCCACAGGTTGAGAACCGCTGATCTATAGCATCTTAGCCTGTTTGGGCTTCTTTGACAAAAATAGCATGGGATGGGTAGCCTATAAAGATCAGTATTTGTTTCTTTCTCACAGTTCTGGAGGTTGGGAAGTCCAGGGTTAAGGTGATGGCAGATTGGATGTCTGGTGAAAATGCACTTTCTGGTTCACAGGTGGTGTCTTTTCTCTGTGTCAGGACAGGTAAAGGCACTTTCATGGGCCTCTTTTATGAGGGCACTAGTCCTGTTCTTGAGGGCTCCACCCTCATGACCTAATCACCTCCCAAAGGCCTCACTTCCTAATAGCATTACCTTGGGGGACACAAACGTTCAATCCACAACGTGGAGCAAGCATGGCTACCACTCTGTGGGTGTAAAACTTTAGGCATGTTACTCCAGGCTTCACTTCCTTATCTGCATAATGGGTCCAAACTGAGAGGACCTGTGGCGAGGATTAAATGAGATAATCATGGTCAAACATCTAGTGCAGTGCCTGACTAGTAAATGCTCAGTCATTGTTTATTATTGTTATTGCTGTTGACTAAATTAGTTTCTACCTGAAATGAAATTAAAGCAGAAATTTCATTATAAGACAGGGACAATCAGATAGTTTTCTAAAATAAGATCCTTGAGCCCTAGCCGGTTTGGCTCAGTGGATAGAGCATTGGCCTGCAGACTGAAGGGTCCTGGGTTTGATTCCTGTCAAGGGCATGTTGCCTGGGTTTCGGGCTTGATCCCCAGTAGGGGGCATGTGGGAGGGAGCCGATCAATAATTCTTTTTCATCATTGATGTTTCTCTCTCTCTCCCTCTCCCTTCCTCTCTAACATCAATAAAAAATATATTTAAAAATAAATAAGTAAAATAAGACCCTTGAAATAATAGAAGAGATCTTTATCTTGCTCAGAAACATTCCAAGTGCAACTCCACTTGATACTAAGGAACGTCTACTTCATATTAGGAAATGTGTTATCAGGTTTCCTGACCTCTGCCACAGTGACCAGCTGTCAAAGAAAAATTCCTCAAATGATTGGACAAGGCCTCCACTTGGATTAACTAGTATTCCCAAGTTTATCGTCACTCTCTTGGACACTAAACAGGCAGGGAGCCTGCATAAACCTCGAAAGTTTGCTAATCTTTGGAGCCAACATTGAAGCAAAAGAAAGACTTTAAAGATAGTCTATCATCTTTAAATGTTCATGAGCTGGGAAAGGTCTACTTATTGTTTGACTTTAAGAGTTACTTATCTGTCTGGTATTTTTCATTTTACATTTTCTGTTTCTTTTGCCAGAGCCTACATTCATCAGTACACAAAGTTTGGAATTGAAGAAGAGGACTTTTTGGACAGTTTCACATTGTTAGAACAGGTTGTTGCCAGTTACCGCAATCTCTGATCTTGAACAAAAGGTTCAAGGGGGAAAATGCCTTATGTCATTTTTGGACTAAAATATTTTCAATACTCTTTTCACTGTATGTTTTCAAATTTTGATCTTTGAAAGCCAGCCAAGTCAAATGCTTATTTCTTCTGCATACTATGCCCACAGAAGAGGAGAAGAACCTTTTAAATAGAGAATATCATCTTTTCAATGAAAACATCTACTTGGTATTTTCATTTGCAAGACAAAAAATTGGTGCTTCTATAAAGAACTTTGGAAACACTTTGCTTAGATGTTGGAACTCTGGAACTATCCAAAAAGGGGAATATTCTGTTTTGTCCCTATATGCCTAACTCTTCCTTCTTCACTTCAAAAAGGATTCATTAAATGTGTGCTAAATTTTCACAGCACAATTTTAAGTTAAGAAATTGCAGTTCTGTATGTAAATGTATTTATCTTTGAAGTGAACGTTCTGAACCACAAGAGGGAGCTGTTGTTAAATATTACAGAGTGAACATCTTGTATATTTTATTCTATAACAGGTAAGATTTCTACCTTAAGCAGCTATTTAAAAATAAAGCCAGGATTTTGTTAATAAATATACATCATGCTTAAATACTAAGGTAAATGAGTAAATGGTTAATTTGTTTACTTTTCTTAACCTTTTTGGTTATCAGAAAATTGGGTTGGTTTTTCTTTTAGATTTTGGAATGCCAGGGCAGAAATTGATTTTATTCCAACTAGTGCTTTTAACTTATTATAGGTATTTAGAAGATGGTTATATGCTTTTCAGTAAAAGGGGTAAGAGCTTGCACCAAAATTTCACTAAGTTGAGAAAATTATCACCAAGGAAATACTGTGCTTGATGAAATTGGCACATCCAGAGGTGTCGGTTTCACTCAGGACAAAACACAATTGAAAGTTGGCAACTGAGTTTGCGGGGAGTGGTGTACTTCAATAAACACATCACATGTGATGTATTAACAAATGTAAAATGGGAAATAGGAACATTTGCCCTTTCTGCCAAATCTACCAGTGGTGATTTATTTTTATTTGGAAAAATGACAGTTCACAGCTTCACTGGCTCTTCCTTTTCTTTCCATATGGAAACGATTACCTTTTTTGCTGTTTTTCTTATCAACTGTTGCTATGATTTAAAATACTGAACCATATCTTATTTCTAAGGAATGTAAAAAGTGGTCTGTCTGTTCAGCTGCTAAAAGGCACGCCCCACTGCTGCATTTTGTTAACCCAAGTATACTTGAAAAATAATTACATCATAATTTTTACAAAATAACATTAAAAGTAATTGTTTGGCACTGAAGAGATCCTAAGACTAAATCAATTTTCCAAACTAAACCAGCATTAGTAAATATCTGTAACTGAATGATCTCACCCAGGGGTAAGCTGATTCTGAAGAAACTTGCTTAAAGTTTAGCTTAAAAAAAGTCTTAAGTTGAAATAATTTTATATTTAAAGAAAGGTACCATGGGGACACATATATTACTAATTTGGCAACTCATGGAATTAATGGCAGGTGAATATTAAAAATAAATCCTGCCTGGCCAGGGTGGTTCAGTTAGTTGTGGCTCAGTTAGTTGGGCATCGTACCATGCACCAAGAGGTCACCGGTTCGATTCCCGGTCAGGGCACATGCCCAGGTTGCTGGCTCAATCCCCAGTGTGGGGTGTGCAAGAGGCAGCGAATGGATGTTTCTGTTTCTCCCTCTCCCTCTCTAATATCAATTAAAAAAACATTTTTTAAAAAAGTAAACCCCAGTTAGACAGAGCTTTGAGTCCACTCACTTACGTGGACCTAAATATTTGCAAACTTGTTTTAAACATTTACACAGAATTTTTTTTGTCTATTTGAATAATATGAAATCTTTGCTATTAGGGGTTAGGCTTTTGACTCAAAAATTAACACAAAGAAGCTGATCTCAAACTTCAAGATAAGGGGTGGCATTGCAAATATACTTTGATTTGTGTACACAAAATGGCCAATCAGCTAGGACCACAGACTAGTAACTTCCTGGGCATACAGATACAGCAGCTTTGGACATGTAGTTTCCTTGGTGGGTCCCTGGAGCACTGTTTTCACTCAGACATCATCCCATAGGGCCAGGGTGCACCCCTATAGGCAGTGAGTACAGTGTAATTCCAACTGCTCTTTGTTTTCAACCCTTTTCACGCTCCCCCATTTATGCTTTTCTCTGAGAGCTCTTCAGATTGTAAAACCTGTTTCTTCCCATTCATTTCCTCTTGCTTCTGGGGATCTTTGGGTGCTCCCCACCCAATACTATCCAGTCAATCTGCAACATCTTTCTCCTTTATTGAACTCATCACTTAGTCCTGGCTGGTTTGGTTCAGTGGATAGAGCGTCAGCCTGTGGACTGAAGGGTCCCAGGATTGATTCTAGTCAAGGGCACATGCCTGGGTTGCAGGCTCAATCCCCACTAGGGGGCGTGCAGGAGGCAGCCAATCAATGAATCTCTCTCATCATTGATGTTTCTTTTCTTTCTTTTCTTTTTTTTTTTTTTTACAGAGAGGAAGGGAGAGGGATAGAGAGCTAGAAACATCGATGAGAGAGAAACATCGATCAGCTGCCTCCTGCACTCTCCCCACTGGGTTTGTGCCCGCAACCAAGGTACATGCCCTTGACCAGAATTGAACCCCGGACCCTTGTGTCCGCAGGCCGACGCTCTATCCACTGAGCCAAATCGGCTAGGGCACATCATTGATGTTTCTATCTCTCCCTCTCCCTTCTCTGAAATCAATAAACATATTTTAAAAAACAAAACACAAAGCCATCCCTTAGAACTCAGTATGTGTGCCTACCATTCACTGTTCAGTTAGTCGAATCATTCAAACAGTTCAGTGTCAGGCATTGAACAAGATGTTAAGGAAACAGACCAATTCAACATAGACCAAATGAAGACACTTACAATGTAGTTACTTTTCTTTGGATCTCTGGTGCTATGATTCTAGCTTCCTTATTGTTGCTTTGTGTTTTGCCCATGCCCATGTCAACTTTGTTACAGGAAAGATGTGGTACATGGGCAAGGACAATGAAGTGTGATCTCTAGTCTAGGCTTTCAGTTTGTCTGAAATGCCTCCTCACTGGCTCTGCAGAATCTCCTCCTCAGTGTACATACCAGTGATTCTTCTGCTGACCACCATGTTTATCACACTTGAAATCCTGTCCAAAAAATTCAAAAACATGCTCCATATGTTCCTATCCCACTATTCTCTTCCCAGGAGCCTAAGGTTTGGCAGTCAACCCCCTCTTGTTCTTCTACCTACCAAATATGGCTTTACCCACTACTTGGTCATTTTGGCAACTAACCAGTTATTGAAGAGATATTTGCTTATCTGTTCAACCACATTGTTTCCTATGAGTTTTCGGAATGTGAACTGAAAAGTCTGGCTTTACATCTTTAACTAAATGATTTCCTACTCCTGTACTCGGAAGCGTCTCAGACGATGCACCGTCAGCCTTATGAGTAAATAGAATTCCATTTCCACTAGCAGGAATGCTTCCACATGAAGTTAAGATAAACAATGTAGATAGTTCAAGTTTGTGGGGAACACAGTGTGGGCTCAGTGTTGGAGAAGATATGGCATTCAAGGGAGAAATGGGAAAAGATAGACAATCATTTAGACGCTAGGGAGCCAGTGTAGCAGGAAGATGAGAAGGAGGGTCGGAGAGCTGATGATGCCCCAAATAACTGATAATAGCTTAGAAGCATTTCCAAAAAAAACTTGGTTTTTGAATTATGGACTTCACCTAATGATGAAAAATCTAATAACTTATTAGAACACAGTTTTAAAAAACAACAACAGTAAGCCCTGGCCAGTTTGGCTCAGTGGATAGAGCATCAGCCTGTGAACCAAAGGGTCCCAGGTTCAATTCCAGCTAAGGGCACATGGCCGGGTTGTGGCTCGATCCCCAGTGTGAGGTGCGCAGGAGGCAGATGATCAATGACTCTCATTGATGTTTCTATCTCTCCCTCTCCCTTCCTCTCTGAAATTAATAAATATTAAAAAATATATATAAATAAAAAAAAACAGTAAGCTAAATTATGTGTCCCTTAGCAAGTCATTCTATCTTATCTAAATTTAGCTCCTTTGCCAATGATGCAGCCAATAAGGTAGCTCTCTTGTCCTATTTGAATTTAATTATTTATACGGCGAGTACACAAAAACTCAGATTCTATACCCATGCTGTCCAATAAGGTAGCCACTAGCCACATGTGGCTAGTGCTGTTTAAATATACATGGGTTTTGAAGATAATATGGATAAAAGAATGTAAAATAATGTTTTAAATTAATTTTGAAGTGTTATTGTTGAAATGACAAATTAGGTTAAATAAATTATTCAAATTGGTATACCTGGTCCTTTTTAGCTTTTAAAATGTAGCTACTAACAATTTTAAAATTAAATATATGGCTTGCATTGTATTTCTATCCAACATTTCAGGAGCAGAGTCCTGGGAATTACAGAAACGACTTGAACGAAGCTTGTCCTTGCTAGATGACAGAAGTTCCTAGGTACATGATAGTAAGAATCATGACATAATGCAAGAGATGGGTGTTTCCTTTTTGAAAAAAAGAGGCCTTTGCTGAAGCTGGGCTCACATGAACAGTATGAGTCAGGAAGTGAGCTTAATTCAACAAACGTCCATTGAACACCTACAAGGAAAACCACATAGGCAGGTTTTACAGATGAGCTAAACCTGGCCCCTGGCCTTGAGTTCACCATTTCATATATTCTTTGCTGCAAAGCAAATACCTGGCTCTTGGTAGAGACTCCATAATATTCACTGTCTAAAAAACAATGGAGGAGATGGAAGGCTGCAAAACTAAAGGCACACAGGGAAGCCCAGGAAAGCTCCCCTATTAACAACAGATCTCACAACTGTTAGATGAAACTAAGTACCTGGAGATAGAAATATAATGAAAAATATTTTATCACTGAAGCCCTCTTATATAATTAAAAGCATTTAAGACAACATAAATCCAAACACTACATTAAGAGAAAGAAGAGCCCTAGCTGGTTTGGCCCAGTGGATAGAGAGCCGGCCTGTGGACTGAGGGGTCCCAGGTTCGATTCCGGTCAAGGGCATGTACCTTGGTTGCGGGCACATCCCCAGTAGGGGGTGTGCAGGAGGCAGCTGATCGATGTTTCTAACTCTCTATCCCTGTCCCTTCCTCTCTGTAAAAAATCAATAAAATATACTTAAAAAAAAAAAAAAAAGGGTTGTAGGAACTACAGGATGCTCCAGGTTCATTTGGGGGCAGAGGAAGGAGAAATTAAAGAATAACTTTGTGGTCCCTATTATCTCAACACGTTCTTCTAATGATGAACATTGCCTGCCACAGAAAAGACTGGTACATATCGCACACGAGTCTGGGAGCAGCCTGAAAAGAGCTGTACGAAGCAGGAAAGCTTCTGGGTATGAAAGAGCTTTGTCCTTCCTCCTTTGCAGAGACTGGGGATGTGTTTATGCTCAGCTTCTTCTTCTTTTTTTTTAATATATTTTTTTATTGATTTTTTACAGAGAGGAAGGGAGAGAGATAGAGAGTCAGAAACATCGATGAGAGAGAAACATCGACCAGCCGCCTCCTGCACATCCCCCACCGGGGATGTGCCCGCAACCCAGGTACATGCCCTTGATCGGAATCAAACCTGGGACCCTTCAGTCCGCAGGCCGACGCTCTATCCACTGAGCCAAACCGGTTTCGGCATATGCTCAGCTTCTTTATGTTTGAAGAAAATGCTGAAATTCTGAAAATGTCTTTTGAAATCTGTATTTTCCTAAAAGCACTATTTTTCAGCCTCATTTTATTCCCCTAACTTGTGCAAAGCACGCCCCTACACATGCTTTTATCAGACAGGCATGATTCTATCAGAACACCAGGAATAGTGACACCTCAGGCTTCGAAAACTGTACCTCCTTTCCACCAGAGGATGATTGCACAAGTAAACCTCGTTTTTCCTGAACTCCGGTGCTCCTGGTGAGTGGGATAATTCTGGTCATCTGTCATGTATTCTGAACTCCTATCCAGCCAACTTCAATAAGGATAAGTCACTTACTGAAACATGTAAACAGCCCCAGCACGAAAGCAGCCAGATGGAAAGCTGCCTTGACCACGTGCTCTAGAAGGTGCAATAAAACTGCAATCTTGCCTTTTGGCTTGGCAGAGGCGGTTGGGAGCAGGCCCTCGTGCACACTTGGGAATACCTATGACATCTGGGTTCTAGGTGGCAGCCACTACTGTCTAGGCTGGTGCTACCGGAATCTTGGACTCGAGCAGAAATATACAGGAAATCACTCTGCCAAACTTTTCTCCTTATAAAGACAGATAATCTG